AGTATTCTGTGAGACTTCTATAAATGCTCTCTTCATTAGCAACAACAATTTTGTGCAAGTGTTGCCCTCTCTCACTGTCTCACAGCCCGAATAACCCACTGACATGACTTGGCATGCTGCAGCAAGTAGAGTTTCATTTTAAATGACTTCTTGCGTCTGTTCGTGTTTTTTTGACTTTATTTTCATTATGAAACTAAAAATGGCTAACGTCAAGTTTTCTCTTAAGAACATTGTCCGCAGCAATAGCTCTTGTGTATTGTGCATTCACCAATTGGAAAAATAAACATTTGAGTTTATTATTGTTAAGCTATTACTAATCAAGGCTGATTAGGCTGAAAATTGTGCTTTTTCTGTCAACAGCTCAATTTTAGGTGCATCTCTATTGAGCGCAAACATGAGCTCACCAGCTGTTACTTATTTTATCTGTTGTTTGCAAAGGGCTTAAAAGAGTAGATTTCTTCCTAGATGTCACTTCTAAAGTGAATGATTTTAAAAGTAACAGTTGTTACTGCTAGCGTTTTATTATTATACTCTTGATATTGCAAAAAAAAAAAAAAACAAAAAAAACTATTTGGAATGCAATAGCCACTGGCTAACAATGCCAATGGATACATATTTTGCATTGCAGTAGGATATTCAATCTGCTGGATGGACTCTAATCTGCACTTCAGAGATTATTGTCCAAGGTCCTGATTGTTACACAGAGCGCTGAGAGGACTCGAGTTAAGCAAAAAATTAACATTTATCACAGTGTTTGCCAGCAATGTTGCCATTGCATGGACTTCTACCAACAGTTATTTTAGTAATCGATTATTCTGTCAAGTATTCTGACAATCAGATTTTAGAAATGGCATACAATATTAGACATACATGAATGTAAACAAATAATTAATTCCCATAAATATGTTATTGCCAGAAACGTGGCATTCCTTTAGTAAAAAAAAGTTTTAAAAAAAGAAAAATAAAAAAAACTTCTGACATCAACATGTGAAAAGCTCGGCCCTTTCTCCTTGACTTATCATGAATAGTGTGGAGATAATATCTTGATGCTTTTTTGGATTAACCAAGTGGCGCTTAATATGAAATTATTTTTTTGCAGTATTTGAACCAGTTTAAACTGAAACTTTAAACGCCACTTGAGGAAATCTGAGTTGAACACATTTACAGACGAACAGTTTTTGTGTCTTTAATGCAAAATGTGTAGATTTTTCTTTTTCTGACAGTTTTGGCATAATTTCTGCGCTGGCCTTTTTTTTGAGTCTGTGTGCTCTACTTAACAATTAATCAGTTAAAACAATTAGTTGGCAATTATTTCAATAATTAGTTAATCATGATTAATTAATCATTCCAGCGTTATTTCTCATATCATGCAGCGATCTGTGCAACAGCATACGGAGTGATGACGTACCGTGTGGGAGTGGGTTCAGAGTACTTTTGCACTTTATTCTAACAGGAATATGTGATGAATCTGTGTGTCGTGTCCTATTGCACCATTACGATCTGCTCAGAGACCAGAAAGTGGTTTCAGTGAAGCCAGGTGAATGTGTAGTGTTGTTTCACTTGCAGCTGTTTACTCTCACATCTTATATGTGTGTTTTCTCACAACGATCGTATTTTCTGTAATCTGACAGTCTGACCCCATAGCAACAGCTGTTTACCGTTTACCCTAAAGTTTATTTATCAGGATTTTCGGCTGCATTTAGCTCAAATTTGCCTTTTAAAAAAACGTTTTACTTTGCTGAGAATAGAACAGAGCGCTTTTCTGTCACAAGTTTCTGCCTCTTGTTATTCCCTTAACTACTTCAAGACCTTAAACACGGAAATGAACGTAAGAGCAATCAGTTAAAAAAAAAAAAAAATCAGAAAATATGTCCTATTTTCTTTTTAAGTAGCAAGTCATTCATTAGGGTCTGTGTAGCTGATTTGTAGAAATGCAGAGTGAATTACCTGCGTTCATGGGTGGAAAGTTTTTTTGTCACTGTGACCTGCTTTTTCCAGCCCTCCTGCAAAAGAAGGGCACATGCACTCAGCTCAGACCTCTCGTCTCTTTTCTAGGTGACGCACTTTTTTTTTTGGGTTTTTTTACAGTCTTGACACTCATTTCAGTGTTTTTTATGAGATCTGTATCAACAAATTAGTGGGACACAAGCACGCAAGCAGAAACGTGCTTCTGAATGAGCTCCAATAAAAATGTTGCCAATTTCGTCTTTTTTTTTTTTTTTTCCCCCATTGGAAAACGAGCTCAGCTCTGGAGCAGAATCGATCCAGTTTAAGTGTTCTGGAGAAGGTTGAGTTATGTTGTTGTGGGCAGCTGTTTGAGAAAAGAGGAGTCTCCAGTTTAACTTAAGCCAATAAACTTACTAATGGGGATTGTGTAGTGTCAGATTGTGAGCTATAGTGTTTCTTGAAGGATCCACTTAAACAAATGATACGGTAGTAGTCCTAAATATTTAAATAAAAACCTGAAGCCATATTAGTTGCTCGTTCATGAGCATTTTTAGTTAAAAGAAACAAATATGAGGACATTGTTGTGGAACTGGGGTTTGCCCGATATGGGAGGAGGACCTATGGGAGGTGTGTTGCAGGATACCTTCTGTCAACTCCCTAAGTTAGGTCACACCTCTGGCTATCTCCTTTACTTCCTGACACAAGCCTCCAAATATTTTGACTCAAAACGACTAACAGTAACTCCAGCTCCTCTGCAGTCAACGGATGTCTGCTGGCTGTGCAGTGGGTGAAGTAAACTGAGACGTGAGGTATGACTGGCAAGCTACGAGAAGACCTAGTTTTAAACTACACAACAAAAGAGCATGCACACTGTCACCTATGCACAAGCACAGATGTGGTGTGTAGGCGACAAAAGCACAGGATGTGTGGTACGGGGGCAGGAAGAGGAGCAGGAGCTGAAAGAAATGTGTGTTTTTAGCAGGAGAGTTTTGGGTTTTCAAAAGTTACTAAAGTAGTGCCGACAGGGACCCAACGAGTTTCTTCAAGCCTTTTACTCTTGGAAAGTTCCAGACTACTTGATAATCACACACCAAGACACACCTTGGAGATGACAGAATCTATTTGCTGTGTCTCTTTGTGCCATAGTTGGCTCAGTTTCCTGTTAGAATACGGATTCTATGTAGAAGTGTCTATGATGCAATTTGAAGTGAATTTATTGGTTGCAAGCTTCAGATTTGTCTCATTCGTGTTGATCGTTATCTTTGTACTGTATGGCACGTAAAGTGATCATTTGTGGTTTGGCTTGTGCTCTCAGCCTGTGCTTCATGTCATTAGAGGGCGTATAAAACGTGTTACTCTGTTAGCTCAATTGTTATTTTTAACATTTCTATATATAAGATTTAAATGAAAAGAAGAAACAACATTTCTTAGGAAGCTTGAAGCTATTTCAGTAGGTATATAACATTACCACAGAATTATGTCTTAGAAAATGTCATTTACAGGCCCAGAATGGAAAAGGTTGTTTCTTATTATTGTCTTATTTTTCTTTGTCCCTGTTGGGCAAATGTTGGTATGAGTTTCTGACTATAATAACCTGGAGTAAAAAATTGTGTTTTCACATCACAAGATTTATATCCAGTCAAAATAATCCAAATTATTTTATTTAAAATAAAAACTACCAATAATTCTTGCTTGCATCTATTCCTAAAATAATTTAACGATGGTTGTATTGTTATGATGCTCTTCTTAACTATAAAATGTTTTTTTTTTTTTTTTTTTTTTTTATTGTAATGTAGAACGATGAGATAAATATGATGCAGAGTTGCTAATATTAGTAGTAGTTTTCAGCTGCTTATTGCACAAAATACGAGAAGTTTTTGATGGGGATGCAAAAAAAAAATATCAACATTAACATGATGTTAGTCTTTTTTTTTTTTGTTCTGTTTTGTTTTTTTATATCTATGTTGGTCCCATAACTAAAACCGTGCTGAAATCAATATCCAGTGTTTATTTCCAACTTGTTACCGTTTCTGTTTCGGGAGGGAGAAGGAAGCGAGGTCACTATGTGGTATTTGTTTGCTCATCATGACAGTGATGCAGTGCAGGATTGTGGGATTTTTGTAACTGCAGCAGAGAAGCAATGGCAGCGGAGTGGTCGTCTTTTGATTCTTACGAAATCTAGATGTAATATAAAAAACATTGTTAAATATTGGCCATGACAGCAATATTGATACTGGATATTGATATAGGCAAAAAAAAAAATTATATTGGTGGAACTCTTAGTTGTTGACATTTTGCTAGTCGGGCTGTCTGCTCCAGCAACTAGCCTGTGGTCGGCTGCTAAACACTAGTGGATAGGACTCACCCTTTTACTTTCCACACCCTTGAATGACTGTGTTTTTCCTATTTTGAAATATCCCCAAACACTGAATATAGTTTTTCTTAAGAAGGTCAAAGGGTAATGATGCTCCTACAGGCAGTTGTCTGGCAGTACGTTACATCAGATTAGCAGAGGCGACAACGCATTATTCCCTGAAAGGATGTCAAGGGGTGGAAAATTCCCAGAAACCTTTCGTGGGAATTTTGGTTGGGAATTTGTGGAAATATTACAAATTGTAAACTTTCCATGAGAAAATAAATATGTTTTTTTAAATTCATATGCTTTCATGCAATATTCTCAAACAATACCATATATAAAATATATTTACCCTATCATGTCATCAAAACTGACTTCATGAAGTTCACAGACTCATCTGCGCGTACCTTAGTCTTGTGTTCTGGGCTTCAAAGTGCAGGTTCAGTGGCAGAAACCTTGCGGGCTTGTGATGAAGGAATGCACAGTGCATGCAGGGGATGTTTACTTAATAGCCCAGCAGTGAGTAGAGTACTAAGTGCATGTAATTAAGGAAATGGAATGGCAAAAAGTGTGTTTTATCAGTTTTTAAAAGCTTGGGTGTATCTGGATTCCAGTGAATGGCCCCGTGCCTAGTTTCCCTTCGTCTTTGGAAACGGTCTTGAAAAGAAATGGCGGCTGTTTTGTTTTGCTCACTGTTTTCCGTGTGTCTGCTCCTACAGTTGACATTCGAGAGATCAAAGAGATCCGTCCTGGTCAGAAGTCCCGGGACTTTGAGCGCTATGTCGAGGACTCAGCAGTACGACTTGACAACTTCTGCTTCGTTATTCTCTATGGCACGGAGTTTCGCCTTAAATCCCTCAGCTTGGCAGGTATGCGCACAAACATTCTTCATCTGTCATTGTAGCAAACCTCGGTCAGTGGAAAAAGGGACATTTTCTTTAAACTATGACTGTTTTTTATATGTAGTGCCGTCATATTTGTGACTCTTGTTTCTTACTAACTACTTTCCTCAGCAACATCTGATGAGGAGATGTCTATGTGGGTGAAGGGGTTAAAGTGGCTCAGGGACGATACATTGAAATCACCAACACCATTACAAATAGAAAGGTACCCTAAAGCAAACACATCATTATCATCCAAATTTTTTTTTTTAATTAAAAATGTTAAGTCCATTCATTCTCATCTTCCAGGTGGTTACGCAAGCAGTTCTATGCTGCTGATCGCAACAGAGAGGACAGGTGAGTTCTAGACGGCACAATTAAATATTTTTCATTTATACTGAGCATATAATCCATTTATGCTCTCTATGCACAAAAAGTGGAATATTTCAAGCCTGTGTTTCTTGTAATTTTGATGATTATGGCTCACAGATCACAAAGTCTGTGGCATGGAAGCGGTAGATCTGGTGTCCCTTATCTTCCTCTTGACAACAGCACCTAGATTCTCTGTGGCACAGGCTCATTCCAAAATTGCTCTCAAATACTTTGTCTAAAAATGATATAGAATCAATTGTTTTCAAATAAAGATATAATAATAAATGCAGGTTTTAGCAGTTTTTCTTTTTTTTTTTATGGAATTATTGCTTCGGAGTTCCACAACAGAATTACACTAAGAGTACAAATTATATTTGTTTAGATCTCTTTTTGTTGCCATTAAATTGAATACTAGATGCTTTTTTTAATGTTTTCACAAATCCCATCAAAGAAAATGTAACTATCTTCTTTTTGCAAAGGTTTTAACCTTGTATGTCAACACATTATTACCTGCTGTAGATATTTCTCAAGAATTGTCAGTTGCACTTTTTTCAAAAGGACTCTAGTGTTGATTTAAAAACAAAAAGTTGAAATGAGGACTTTTGGCCACTGAGCAACAGTCCAGTAATTTTTTTCTGTCCAGTCAGCAGTTTCCCCACCATTACCGTGTCCTACTGACCCAGACTGAGACAGGCTCAGAAAACCTTTGCAGGTGTTTGTGGTTGATTAACTGATTAGTCACTCAATGGGCAACTTTTACACAATGTTCTAAATTTCTATAATCCATCTACAAGCCACAATTATTGAAATTATGAGAAATAAAGCCTTAAAGTGTTTATCTCTGTATAGGGAATTTGTATGATGTTATATGAACTTCACTTTTTGAATTTAAGTTTTTAAAATTGGTTTCATTCATTCAACAGGTTCATTGTTATTATTTTTAAATCACTTGGCACTTTTAACTTTATGGTTTTGGCAAAAAAAAAACAAACAAAAAAAAACCAGTTTGGTCGCCACTGCAACAGAGAACAAGATATTTTCTTTTAGTTAGCTTTGTGAAATGCCTTTTTTTAGATCAGCAGCAAGTAACTTTCCATTTCCAATGGTTGTTTAATAATCAAGAGTAAAGTGAACTGGTTCTATCTGGATGCTGGGTGTTTTTGTCAGCGCTCAGTTGAGGTGTAGTGAAGGAACTGACCTAAGAGCCAAACACTAGCCCCTCTTCCTGCAGCAGGAAACAGACCGCAGAGCACGAAGGAGATGTGCAGAGATGTTTGTCTGTAACATCCCTGTCTTTGTTATTTTTTAAGGCTATTCTCATCGCCTGCCAACGATTCCAGGCTCTGTAGTAAAAGCGAAGCAGTAGAAAAATAAATCTGATCCGACGGCGTCCAGGCTTGGACGGATTTTACGTGCTCATGCATTTTAGTGTTTAATCATTTTTGTTTTCACAAAACGTGCCCGTGTGTGTGCATAGGATATCCTATAAGGATCTGAAGAACATGCTGAGCCAGGTCAACTACAAGGTGCCAAACATGAGGTTCATTAAAGACAAACTTCCGGTAACCTCTCTCCGTCTTATCACAGACCACCTTTCCATTCTCTCTCCCTGCCCACTTCCTGCTCCACCATAAGATTTATGATTTTTATCGTGACGGTTCTTCCTTACACACTCATCCTTCTCGTCTTGCTTTGTAAGGACTCTGAAACCAGGAATGGAGACGTGACCTTCAGCCAGTTCGCCCAGCTTTATCGTAACCTCATGTTCGATGCGCAGAAAAACGTAAGTGCAGACATTTTATGTTCTCCCATCGCTCTTCCCCTCCTGCGATCCCCTGCTGAGGCCCACTTCATCCCCCATCTGTGTGTTCTCAAATGGCTGCAAGATCAATATGCACCGGCTGAAACCCACCAAACCCCTCTAGTGGAGGCCATTAGGACACACACATGAGCAAGCAGACAGACTGGTCACATTAAATGGATGACCCCAGTGGCCTCACCCAACCTGCTGGAAGTCTGTGTCTGTCTACATAAGCTGAACTGCACACAGAATTAGTACAGTACTGTGATGGAAATTAACTAAAATATTCTGTTTTTTTTTTTTAACCTCTTTTCAGGTGGAGATCCCTTTTATGCAAAGGTAGGTCCTAAAAACGAGACTCTGATGTGAACAGTGAATCTTTTTCTTGAATGTCAGTTGTTAATTTCCTGCTTCCTTCTCAAACAGGTTCATGGGTAACATAGTTGATGAAAGGATCACCCTGGAGGATTTCCAGAGCTTCCTCGTAGAATGCCAGAAGGTAATCCCTCAGCTATTTAACACGTCACTGAATTTGTTTTGGTTCGTGCTCTAATCTGACTGTATTTTTTTATTTATCGTTTGGGCATTTAAGGAACTGTGGGCCTCGGACAACAACAAGGTTCAAGAGTTTATGTTCAGCTACCTGAAAGACCCCCTAAGGGAAGTGGAGGATCCATATTTCCATCCAGAGGAGGTAAATAAATTACCCTCTTCTGTTCTAAGGGTTTCACCTGTTAATGGAAACATTTCAGATGTTTTCAGAAGTAAAGTTTTCCAATGCCCCTCATTGTGCTACAGCTGTGGGTGGGAGTTTATTCAGACACTGATATGGATACCGGTGATCTCGGCCTAAAATACCATCTCCTACGCATTCAGAAAAGGTTATTTACCAAACTGCTGCATGACAGTTCTGCTGAATGCGAAGGATGCTTTTGTGGTCACCAATAATGTAATGACTTAAGAGGAAAGGAAGCTGGTGAGAACCAGTCTGCTGGAGACGCTGGCAGAAGTTAGACAATGCCTTCGTCTAACAAGCAGGAATGCAGTCTTCAGCTGGACCAGAAACTCACTTCAGTTCATTAAAGTCATTTTGGTTTGTTAGCAGTTTGCAAAGTTTGCAAGATGCTGCATTATATCTCACGTGTCACCACTGACTTGTAATGAAAGTCAGGGTAAATCATCTAAAAACCACTGCAGAAACAAAGTAGCACCGAAACCGTACATTCCACACAGAAAGGCCTCAACTTGGGTTTGACTCAAGAAACTTCTTCCTGTGCAGAAACAGTTGAACCTGCACTACTGCCTGAATATTTTTTTAAAGCATTTGCAGCACTCTGTAGAATAATTGATTCCAGGATTGACTTTGTCCAGTACTGCAGTTTCAACCAGGATCTCATCTGAAATGGCACCAGTGCTAAATTAGTAGTACAATCACCCTGTTTTTTTGTTCTGTTTTAAAAATATACTTAGTGTGTCCTGTCGAACAATGTGGTTTTAAGGATAGTTGTCAGTGGAGCGTTGTCGCTTTCAGTCGAATTCTACACTGGATTTTTATAAAACACTTCAAATGTAGTAGACAGAGACTGTAAATAAAGGAAAAAAGGGAGAGAGGTGAGATAAAAAGTTTAAGAGGAAATGAGACAATACTAGAGAAACAGAAGGATAAAGAGAAAATACCCTAGAAGTCTGCTACTACACCTTCAGAAAGAGAGAGAGAGAAATAAAAACTGAACTGAGAAACCACAGTGACAAACATCCACCTGGGACAGCGTTGTCACTGATAGATGATTGGAGCCACAGACATTCAAAGATCTTAAACCAACCCGCTGACGCAGGAGGCGATCCTGTTCATTCCAGGGTGGACCACCCAAAGGTTTTTAGATTTTAAGCCAGAGATTATCAGGGGATACGTATAACGGTGAAACGGGCCTGAACTATCTTTCCTTTAGGCCAAAAACAACATCCAACAACTTCTTGTTGCGTTTTCATATACTGACTAAAAGTTGAAAAAGCGTTGCCGTAGTTACATTTCAAACAATCTGTAATTATTCTAAAAGCACCCTGGACGTAATGAATAAGATGAACTTTAGTGTTGGTAGCATTTTTTTTTTTGTTTGTTTGTTCATTTTAAGTAATTGCAAAACATTCTCATCTACCCCTCTGTTTCTGATTGTTTTATTTAGTATTAGGAAGTTGGGCAGATGGAAATAAATGTGGTGGAAAAGGTGTCAAAGCAGAAGGAATAACTGCATCCTGGAGACTACTGAAGGAAAAGCTTTTAAAAAGGGAGTGGACTGCAGCTTACAGTCTGGTTCATGAAGTCTGTTTACACACATCATCTGTTGATGTTGCTCCACTGTATTTTATGAAGTATGGTGTTGGTGCCATCTGTCAGAACATTTTAGACCACTTTATGTCTCTCCTGACGAGCTTTATGGAGATGCTGGTTTAAATTTTCCATCTGAACTTGATACCTTCTCAATACTGCCAAAGGTACCAATACCTGGTTTAGTCACCATGGAGTTCAGACAGGAAAAACCTGTCTGATCTTCAGGTCATCTATTGTCCGACGTTCTTGTCAAAATGAAAAGGAGAGACATCACACCCAACAATGGAATGGCTAATGGTGGCTATTTAAGCATCCTGAGCTTTTTAATGCAGTAATTTATGCAAAATCAGGCCTGACCCAAGCATTACATACATGCTCTTCAGTGACCTGACATTTAAGAATTAAACATAATCTGTTATTGCAGTGTAATTTTGAGTTTTCATCTGCAAGCCGTAACCAGTTTAAGATATATCTGCCGTGTTCAATGCACGCAGATATTCACTTTTTGAACTGGGCTAACTGTGGATAAACCAAGCCAGGATTTCTGAAATGGTTTCATTCACAAACTTTTGCTCTTTTCTCCTCTCCGCAGTTCCTCACGTACCTCTTCTCCAAAGAGAACACCATCTGGGATTCCTCCCTGGACATGGTGTGTGCCGAAAACATGAACAACCCCTTGTCCCACTACTGGATCTCCTCTTCGCACAACACGTAAGAAAAGCTGCCCCCATGAAGAACGTTTTCTTCTGTCAATTGTAGTCGGGTCCTGGGAATGCTGAAGCCTGGCATCCTCTTCCCCAAACAAGCCTTTTACACTGACTTCTTGTATCAGATAAAAGCGTATTATTTCCTCATTATGTCCCAGAATAATATTCATGCTGGTATTCAGTAAGAAGAAGAAGTATTTTTCCAGGCATTGAAAAGTGTGAGAAAGGCACTTCTGATGTTAACCTTTTGTCCTGGAAGTGAAACAATACTTTCTGAGGGGGTGAAGTGAAAATTTCCCATGTTCCTTTGAGTCTGTTTGAATGGATATGAAACAAGAACTTCTGTTGACAGAAGAGAAACAGGACTTGTAATTTTGCTGTGCTTTTTTTTTTTTGTTTGCTTAATACATAAAGAGACTGTGTGTCTGTTCTTTCTGGTTGACTGTTAATGTATGAACTTGCTTTGTGTGCATAAGTTATAACTGCGTGGTTATTTTTAGCTACCTGACGGGAGACCAGTTTGCCAGCGAGTCGTCGTTGGAGGCGTACGCCCGCTGTTTGAGAATGGGATGTCGCTGCATTGAATGTACGTAAGCACACATGACCTGCTCTGTCATCCTAACTTTGAGATTACTTTCAGCCTTCTAGCTGAACCGTGACGGTGACGGTTTCTTGGGTGTATGCACATAACGTCATGTTTTCCTCGCCGCGCGTTACTAAGAATAAAGCCCTGTGTTTGCTTTCAGTGGATTGCTGGGACGGTCCCGACTCGATGCCGGTTATTTATCACGGACACACCCTCACGACGAAAATCAAGTTCAACGATGTTCTGAACACCATCAAAGACCACGCTTTTGTCACATCCGAGTGAGTCTTCCTGTCTTCGCCAGCTTGTGTTTCTCCTTTTTGATTTTTATTCTCGATAAGATAACGGAAGACTAAGAAAAGACTGAGATCAGAAGATTGCACAGAGGAAAGAATCTAGATGCGTCATCCTTTATCAATATTGTCTGTCTGCAGTAGCAGATATTTTAGGAAATGTTCAACCTATCTCGGTTTAATCTGTACATCTCCGTCAGGTATCCCATCATCCTGTCCATCGAGGATCACTGTAGCATTGTTCAGCAGAGGAATATGGCCACCCAGTTCAAGAAAGTGTTTGGAGACATGCTGCTGACCAAAGCAGTAGATATGGCTGCAGACGGCCTGCCTTCACCCAACCAGCTCAAAAAGAAGATTCTCATTAAGGTCAGGCCTTAAGAAAGCAATAAAGGGCTTTTAATATTATTATTTTTTATATCTTTTTGCAAGAATTCTGGATCTTAGCTTCGTCCTCCCTCAGGTTGGGTGGGTGGGAAGAGAATCTTTTTTAGCAAACATGCTCATTCCATCCAAATAAATCTAACAATTAAAAGAAAATAAGTTATTTTTTTAATCAAGAAAATAATCCTGATCCTATTTGTAATCATGGCTTATCAGACAGGCTGTATCCAGGTGTTGCACTAATATCCATATGATATGGTTCTCACTTCCTGGTTCTTTGAGTGCTGTGGCTCTAGTTTGTCAGTTACTTATCTGACCATTTATTTATGTTAAATCTTTTTTATATTTAGATATTGTGTTGCTCTAACATATATTTGTCCTTTAACACTCTTAGTCTTTTAGGAATAAGATTTCTACGCAGGTTAAAATGTTGCTGCTCCTGACTGTCCTTCTCTTTCTTTGTGCCTCAGCATAAGAAGCTGGCAGAGGGCAGCGCCTACGAGGAGGTGCCGACAGCCACACCTTATTCTGAGAATGATATCAGCAACTCCATCAAAAACGGCATCCTTTACCTGGAAGATCCCATTAACCATGTAAGCATTGTTACTGCCTGGAAACTGCAGAGCTCCCGCCACATGAAAGGCCGTTCAGAGACAGATGGGTGGCTGGAAAGTTGGAGCTCATATCCCCAAGTCTTCCAGTCGTTTTAAATGTTGTAGATGTAATGAAGACACAAAGTGCTGCAGTTTTTCTTATCCGTTTGTTTTGAAAGTTTTATACACTTTTTTTTTTATTTTATTACATCTTTTATCTCCTTATTTTTACAGGAGTGGTACCCTCATTTCTTTGTCCTGACTCACAATAAGATCTACTATTCAGAGGAGACCACCAATAACCTGGGTAATGATGAGGATGAGGAGCTCAAAGAGGTTAGTACATTCTGTTCAAAGTGGGGCCCAGGAACTATTTGTGGCCCTGAATTGATTTTACGTGTGTCCTCCCTCCCCGTACCACAATTCAAATGAAGAATTAATTAAATAAATTAGGACAAAACTACAACTTTTACTTTAAAATCTACTTACAAAAATATTAGATGCAACTCAAAGTGTGTATCTTTGTCCAGCTTTCTGATTTCTTACTATTTCCTTGGCAAGTAAGTCCACATCTACTCATTGACTTATACAATAACGTACAGCTTGGTGCCCTCAAATCTGATTTTAGTTTCTGTATTAAAACAACTAAACACAGAAATGTTCTCAAGTAAAGACTGGCCTAGATCCTGTTTTTGTTGCTGAGAAGAGATTATATTTTTTCAGTTTTCTTGAGCCCAAAATAATAAGCAAGCTAGTTCCTTTTCATTAAACAAGGAAAATGTGAAAAAAAAATATATATATACTTTTTTGGATCTATGATCCCGTTCCTAGAAACAAAAATTACATTACTGTATTTGTTTAATTAAAATAGCTCATGCTTAGTTTATTGTTGCGTTGGTGATATAAAAAAAAAATCACAATATTTTTGGTCATTTTATTTTTAAAAATGATTTTTTTTTTGTTTGCCCTGCATGTACTTTTGAGCTGACCAGTTCTATGGAGGTTATTTTAATGCTGAATGCAGGGTTTCTGCTGGGTGCTAAAATGTCTTAAATTTAATCATTTCAATGTTAGACGTTCAAAAGTTGGGCCCAAATTTTCCATATTAGTTACATTTAGATGCGTTTAAACTTTCTTTGTTTATCCGTTCTCTGCTCTTCGTTAACTTTTTCCGTGTTCAAATCCATCATTACATGCGAGTTTTGTAATTCTGGCTGATACAAAACTAGAAGATTTGAAAGCAAACGGCACATTAGGAAGGGCTTAATTGCAAAATGTTTGAGCTATTTTTAATGTTTTTATGCAAATTTAAGCAGACTACTAATTAGGCGTACAACTTACTTACATATTTCTAAGTGTATGTTTGGTCTTAAATTGAAATAATGATGGTCTTAAAAAGCATTTAATTGAAGTTAGTGAAACTTGCACAACCACACCTGCTACTCCAGGAGATAAAGGTGGCCAATGAGGAAACGGTATTAAAGCTGATGTTTTCTGCAGAGTATGGAAACACGGTAGCTGCAGTTTGACTGATGTCTTTGTTACTGTTAAGGTGCTCAATACTATGGACCAGCATGTGACGGAGAAATGGTTTCACGGAAAGCTTGGCGCTGGGCGGGACGGTCGGCAGATCGCCGAGAGGCTCCTGTCAGATTACTGCCAAGAGACCGGAGCTCCTGACGGCTCCTTCCTGGTCCGGGAGAGCGAAACCTTTGTAGGAGACTACACACTGTCGTTCTGGTAAATGCTACCGTCACAGTGCTTCAAGACTTTTCTATGAGACTAGGAAAAAAAAAAAAACTGAGATCTATCTGTTTATTAGGAAGTAACAAGCAAATCTGACAAATTATAAAAGTGTTGATCTACAAGGTTTCTTCTTGTGATTGCCTTTGAATAGAAGCAATGAAAACATGTTTGGTTCACATGATGCTCGACGACTCGTTGGTCAGAAACAAAACGTACATCAGTATTTATAACACCTATATATATATATATATATATATATATATATATACTGGTCAATGCAAAATCTTTAATTTATTTTTTTCTTTTAGTTTGTTTTCTGCTCAACTGTGTTGCAGATTCAAGATAGAAACACCAGCCGGAACCAGCAGCCCTCCACCAATATATATATATATATATATATATATATATATATATATATATATATATATATATATATATATATATATATATCTTTTTTTT